TTCTCACTGTCAGATTGATCAATATTTGTGAATCCTTGATGAAAAGAACATAGGGAGGGAGGGAAAAAGCAGAAGGAGGATATGATGAAAGATCAGATGGATGAGCAAGTTTAAAATAAAAAAAGAAGAAGAGGAGCGATGGCATACAGATATTAATGACTGCGGAGACATGAGGGGGAAAAAGGAGGACAGGACGTTTGCTAGAAGTAAAGAAGAAAAGAAGAGAGGGATGAAGGAAGTACGAAGAAGAATAGAAGGAGGATGGTGTGCAGTGTGGTGGACAGTGTGTGTGTTTAGTGGTAGACACTGTAAGGAGGGAGGAAGAAGGAGGCGAAACACAGGCAGTTTTCCTTGACACTTTTAAACCTGTTTTAATGAGGAAACTAACACTTCATGTGTCTTTGCTGCATACAAAAATATGTAGAAAAACGCTGCAGTCGAGCCACTGAGGGGGAACTTAGAAAGAAAGGGAGGTTGGGAACTGTTTCCTGAGGAGAACAATTAAAAGCCGAATATATTCTGCCTTTCGCCTATGGGCTGCCTGCTTTTAATGTGATTATTGGGGCGCTGATGACGCAGAGAGGAGACGTGCACCCAGGGGAGCCCTCCAAGTCTCCGGCCCTGATACTTAGAGCTAGTTGTTTAAGCTAAGACAGAGGAGACAGGCAGAATACTGACACTCAAGTGAAGAGAGAAAGGGACACAAAAGATACAATAAATGAGGTCTATTCAACCTTGAGATAAAGTTAAAGGAATAGTTTTACATTTTGAGAAGTAAAATGTATGTAATGCTAAACCAGGTAGCTTAGTTTAGCATTAAGCCAGGAAACGGGATAACAACTAGCTTGACTCTAAACTTAAAAAGGTTGCATTGCAGTAAATGAAGCTCATTAAATATTGTATAAACATGTTTTATTTATTTTTTTACTTTAACTTTTTTGTTTAATTGTGTAAAACAATCAAAGTAGAAGTTGCTAAAGAAAACGAATTTTAGCATGCTAACATGCTAAACTAAAATGGTGCCATGCCATCCATTGTTACGAAGGCCCAATAATCTGAGATCCAATTCAACCAAAAAAACATTCGTCCAAGAAAACACAGTCTCAGACGCACATTGCTTATTATGGTGCAGAAAGACGTCATCAGACCTTTCAGCCATGCTATTTTCAGTCATAATATAGCAAACACATAACACTTTGCATTTGATTTACCCTGAGAATCCCACTTTAACCATGACCCTTCAGCACGGCTGGATGAAATGTTATTGGATACCTGTCACTGTGAATAGGTTGCTAATTTATACCCCTGTAATTATGTTGTAATGTCCTTTTTGTTTTCTGTTGTTTTTATGTGTAACCAATGTACCGCAGGTCTCCCTTGAAAAAGAGATCGTTGATCTCAATGGGATTTTTTAACCTGGTTAAATAAAGGCTACAAACAAACAAACCCTAACTGATGGCACTCTTCATGCCTTAACCCAGGGGTGTCAAACTCAATTTCATCGCGGGCCACATTAGCATTATGGTTGCACTCAAAGGGCCGGTTGTAACTATATAAATATACATGTATAAATATATAATATATATATATATAAAATAATGTATTATATTACATTATTGCCTCTGAATTGGATTATTATCGGATAGGATAATAATTTAGTAATTAACGTCAGAAAGCAGAAGTCTAGGGCAAATCATTGCAAGTCTCTTCAGTGCGCATGTCACAAAACGAGATGCATTGTGGGACATGTAGTTTATGGGCAACCTGCTTCTGTAAAGTGGCATGTAACCGTATAATAAACGTATTATATTCTTTGCAAGCTCTTGCGGGGCCACATAAAATGAAGTCGCAGGCCGGATTTGGCCCCCGGGCCTTGAGTTTGACACCCCTGCCTTAACCTAACCAACCCAACCAACAAAGGCAACAAGTTTTAGTCAATCAAAGGCAGTTAGACGGTCATGCCTTTACCATAGTTAAAAAAAGAACGGAGGAAGGTCCTTCTCTATAATATTAGCCATGTGCTTCTGTTTGTTGCATTTGGGATTAGTATTTCAGAATGTCCCTTCAGAATGTTTGTTTTCTGAATAAATGAGCTTTCAGTCGTATATTTCTCGGACTATTGGGGTTTCAGATAATTGGGCCTCTGAATGTCTTCGATCCTTTCAAATAGTGTAAGCTTATTATGAGATTCTGGATTCTAATCATGTGTTCTAGTAAGCCATGACAGAGTGACAGTGATCCAGCATGCACAATACCAGGACCCTGAAACCAAGGAGCTGACATTCAGTCATCGTTGGTGTTATTGTTCACACCTGAGCTTTTACTATTGTGACTAGTCAAAACATTACTTGTGAAAAAAAGGCCTATTGTTTGGAATTCAACGTTTTTTTGGTAATGTTGTAAACAGCATGTCATTTAATTGTTTTTTCTGAAGACACCTAAAAACCAACCCTCTTGATGATGTTGAGGGAAAACGCATTATTAAAATGCATGTAAATGTGTGCATTGAGCAGATTACATTTACTACATGCTCACTCTTCTGCTTTACACCTTCTTTTTTCCTTTTGAAAAACACTTTAGAAAATGTTTTTTGCACAGTTGTAGAATCTTGTATACATATTTCTGAATTCCTCCCACGGGAATATGTACCTGCATAAAACATTAAAAAACACTTTCTACACCTGCTAACTCTTATATAGAAATATAAGCTGTGTTATAAAGATCCATAGTGATCAAAGGCAGCTAAAAATACTGGTACTAATTATAGAATATCATTAATCATTTCCAATTTATGTTTTAAGATGTTTGTCAGTGTATTTGAAGCATTGAAGATGATGTTCTTACAGATTTTTGATCTTAAGACGAGGTATTTTAAGAAAGTGTGACAGATGATAGTCCGAGTCAAAGGTGATAGGAAGCTCTGCTCATAGGGACATTAACTACACATCAACGTGCACACACTCACAGTTTGGAGAGTAACAACGAAAGAGTAATGAAGAGTAATGTAAGAATATCAGCCAATATAATTTCATAACTACGCTCAGTTTTCCCCATGTGTCAGTCACATGACTGAGGGACTGAATGCATGAGGAATGTTTCCCAGTCAGGTTCAGATGTGCGGATGAATAAAATCTCCAGAGACTTTCCAGAGCATAGGAGAGGGACAGATGCGAATCATTCATCATTTATCTCCATCGGTGAGACTTTTTTTTTCCTACCCCCATGGTGTCCCTCCCCCATGGGACCCCCATCCTCCCCCTCATCCTCATTGCTCTGACATCCGCAGCAGCATTGGATGACGATCAATGATGACGATGACATTTATAACACATACTCTGGTTTGGAATGGAATTGATATGGTTTCATCACCAAGTCAGTACTTTAGTACATTATATCAGACAACTCAAAGTCAGCTTACAAAAAAAAGAACCCTGCAGATGTCAAAGCGATGTAACCAGGGTTACCTATAGAAAACACATTTTTTAAATACATTCTTTGTTACAAACTGTGAGCATGGAGTTGGATAGACGGACAGCCTAATGAAAAGGTATATCAAGTTGCATTTATGGGAAATGTATTGTATTGTTGATATTCTATATACACTTTAAAAAAAAATTGAGACAAATGTAACATTTGTGATATTGGGCTATATAAATCAAATTGAATTGATTGATAGATTGAAGTGTTTTTAGAGCTGGACCCAGGCAGTGTGAAAATTGGCACATTACTGCATACTGCACACTACAAACTGTGTAGTGTACTACATACTGAATACTACATAGAACATGCTCCATACTACATACTACATGCTCCATACTACCTGCTGCATAGTAAAAAATGCAAACTACCTACTGCATATAATGGGAACTACATACTGCATACTACTTCCTCAATTAGTATGTACTGCCAACTGCAGACCAAATGGCCAATTAAGTACGAGTTAACTAACAGGCTATTCACATTTAAGTATACAAAAGCAATACGTATCATATGAATGACGGCTGGGCAAGTTTCAAGAAAGCCACCCAGCGGCTCTTCCACATCCCCAAAACGTTGCAGCAAATTTCCAAAAAGTCATTATTTGGATAATCTGACCAAGTAATGGAAAAAGTAATGGTTACTTTTTTACTTAAAAACTAAAAATATATAACTAACAGCTTTTATCCTAGCCCAAAAGCTCACATTACTGTTCTAAAGGTATCCAGAAGAAAATCATGTCAGGGGTTCAGAATGTCCAATGAGCTCAAATCAGGGCAAGTCTCGCGTACACACAATTCACATACAATGCACTTTAAATGCATTACATACTCAACGTTACGTTGTACTTGAAATGAATAGCAAACGATTAAAAAAACTGCTGCGTTCTTGTTACTAAGAGTCCGAAAATCCTCCATCTGCTGCACTGATTTTGACCTATCTTCAAAACAATCTGTCTCTTGTATTTTCCCTAACATGAAAAAACCGCATTACAAAATTGCTAGAGTTCCATTTTAATTGAACTCACCTTACTTTAATTAACAATTCATAGCATTGACTTTACTTGCAGGGTGGGAATCACAAGCGGTAACTCCACTATCAGACTGATTGAGGGTTCCCTTTATTTGCCAGTTGCTGCACTATTACTATTATGTACAACAAGTTACCTCGTTGAGCAAATGCATTAAGACTGGGGGAAATTGAATTATAGTCCACTCTCACACAAAACAGTTTGCATGCTGCATTCACAACATTCAGGCGCATCGCTCCCGCACATGTTCCACTGGATGCTGGAGATAAACGGGGGATACAACGGGACCCTCTTACTTACAGAAGCAGGGCAAAGACAAGTCCAGAAGATGGGGTTTAACAAAACACTATCTTATTACATATACATTAAGTAAAAGTCTGGATCTGCATCCGTGTTCTCCGGTTTACGCACAACTACTCCAAACATTTTCAATACTGCAGCGGAAGTTGTGCATTGCTCAGAAATAAAGCAGAATTCCTCAAATAGTACTTACTCAGGAGCAAAGCAACAGGCAAGAAGAGGAGGCACGCGGAGTTGGTGAGAGATGTCATGCTGACCCGTGGAGTCTTCCTCACAAGTTTCACCGGGATCCCCAAAGTGGTTGTTTCCAAAAGAAAGGCAGCGCGCACTGTCCCGCTGCTCGGTGCCGGTCACAGCTTCCTCCTGTCCGCGCTGCAGCTCTGTACTCCAGCGTGAGAGATCCACTGTGCGCTCATCCTCCCTGCCTGGGGGGGGGGGGGGGGGCGCGCCCGAGGAGGAGGAGAAGGAGGAGGAGGAGGAGGAGGGGGGGAGGAGGAGGAGGAGGGGGGGGGGAGGGGGAGGAGGATTCTTTGCTATGCGCAGAGAATCCCCGAAGAGCGCTTTATCAGATAAGGAAAATGCAGTCCCTTAGCAGGTACACACATAACAATCAACTAAAAACATAACTGCTGTCACACGAACAGTTGTCAAACCGGATTAAAGTAGAGATCTGTACCATATAAATACCAGGCAATTTATCAATAATGATAAACTAATATTACAATGAATTCTAGTTTAAAACTTAAATTATGTTCAAATGAATGTTGAGAAAACTGGTTGCTCATTTTCTATCATTGTTGCACCATGGGAAATTGACTTAAAAAATATACAGAGTTACAGTATTACGACCAAACTATATGGTGTTATGTAAATATGTGTTATTCTGCAGTGCAGAAATTGTGGAACAGTGGTTTCTAATCTAGGGCCTTGGGGCCTGTAGATGCTTAAAAAATAAATGTTTATGATTAATGGAAGAGGAAAAGGAGTTCTGCTAAATGACTCTGTTTTTATATTTAATAATTTGACCTTTTTGAGCCTTCAAAATGGTGATCTTCCATTATCTAGACCAGGGGTGGGGAACCTTTTTCCTCTCAAGGGCCATTTCAATTTTTTTTTGCGTGTGTTTATAAATGACCTCGAGGGCCGTACCAAATAGTCTCGCGGTCCGTATACGGCCCGGAGGCTCCCCACCCCTGATCTAGACAAATGAGAATATTCTCGGAAGTGAGTAAAAGGAACGTTCTTGCTCGCCATCATGGTAAAAAGTAATACATAAAGTGCTTCTAATGTAGAACTGAACAGACTTGTTACTTGTTTATGTATTTATGCATATGGACTTTTTTTATTTTGTATTATTCCTTTATTTCCGGTTATTTTTCTCTTTAAATTATGTTTACTAAAAACAACATTTCCTACATTAGATATTTTTTTCTAAAAGAAACTAAGCAAAATTATTTATGAGTATTTTCAGAAGACTTATAACATTGTGAATATTTTGGCCAGGATAAGACGAACACATTTATTTTCTTAATAAAATGTGGTAAAGTCATTCCAGTATGTATTAAGGGTTAGGGTATGTAGAAGTACAGAACAAACCACCAAACGAATAAAGACGCAATAAAGTGAACAAGTCTTTTTTTATTCCAAAAATCTTTAGGGTAAAATAAACTGTAAAAGATACAACATAATCATACAAGCAGAGGACAAGTGAACAGAATGGAAATTATAACATACTCCCTAGCCTCGGTTGTTTCTCACACAGCTCCCACTCGGGGTAACACAACCCGTCCTTCATTCTGAGGACAATAACCGTAACTGAACTGAAGGTGAGGGTGGCAGTCGTCAAAAAGTACCTCTCTGTTGCATGATCATTCAAATGTATGTCCGAATCGGCTGTCTAGGTAGTCCAATGTCTGCAAACAAAACATACAGATTCTCCTGTGCTGAGCCTTTCTTCAGATCCAACATTGTAACGCCGTAAATGCTTGTTAAAGTATAAAGGAGCTGCTGTGGGATAATGCTGAAACATGTCTAAAGGCCCAAATGGGATCAAATGTTTAGGTAAAACATGTAAAATACAATAAGGCACTTGCTAGACAAATCCAAATTCTAAACACAGAGGTTCAAATGAACAGAACTTTAATTTTACAATCAGCAAAAACTGTGTGCCCACCCTGCATCTAAACAAGAATGTGTGTAAATGGGCTGTACACATTATCATACACTTTGAACAAACTTTAAAGATAAACAAACATGTGCAGAGTTTCACTGTTTGGGAGCAGGAATGATTTCTGAATTCAGAACCCAAAAGACAACAAATCCAACTAAGTGCTGCCTCCTACAGTCTATGAGAAGTAACTGCACATCAACATGATCTGGAGAAGCCTGATGAAACATCAGCATTAACAATTATGTTTAGGATGTGTTGTATTATGTGGTATAATTATTGTTGACAACTTTTAAAGCAAGTATACAAGTCTTACAAATGCTAAATGATTATATAAAAAAGGGGCAGGCATACAGACGGGGGAAAATCAATTTACACATGGACGGCTGTCTAACTACATGATGGGCTCCAAACAAGCAGAATCCTTTTCAGCTTCCGAAGACCTTCACAAATATTTTTCACATTTACAAAAATGTTATTTGTATCCTTCAGAAAGCCCTATTAGAAGGATTTTTGAAAACAAGGCCAGATTGGTAAAAGAAAGAAAGATGCTTTTCTTCCTGAATACAGACGCAGGAATAAATTAAATCAACTTTCAGTAAAACTATTTAGCGTGTTGATCCTCTTCAAAGCACTCAGACAGATTTGGCCAGGCAAGGTTGTTGTCTCCAACCCTATTAAGAAATAACTGAAAGGAAATATGCCACGAACAGGAAATGGCTTTGAATGTTACATATTTTTGGTAGCCGGGATTTACTTAGATGTTTAGAAAGAACCTGAACTGAGAACAGTGTACTGGATTCCAAGTTGGCTTAAGAAAAGATGCTGGTCTGTATTATAAAAGAAAAAAAACATGTCCAAGCCTGCTGTTTTTCCAAAATAGAAGGTTACATTTTGAGGCGAAACATGTCTTCTTTAGGTACTTTTGTTCCTCCTCTAGCCCAGACGCAGACCCTGCATCAAAACGTGTATTCCAAAACTCAACATGCCTGACTGACGGGTCAGAAAAACCCGGAAAAACTAAAAGAAAGAGCGACGTTTGGTCTTGTTGACCACTCAGCTGAACATTCTTCGAGTCTTTTGCACATTTGAAGGAAGAGGCATCAAAGGGAGTGTCCGGTACGATGTGTCTGGGAGACGGGCACTAGCAGAAATATTAGGCTCTCCGGCTGTCATGTCCTGACGGGAATAAAAGGAGGGGAGGCAACCAGAATGCCTCTTGAGTAACCAAGTACTGGAAGAATCTACAGTGAATTTAGGAGTTGTCTGGACAAATAATGTCTTAGGTATTTCCAGGACAAGAAAAAACAAAAACAGCTCCCTAAGTCGAAGCTTCCCTGGTGCAGGTAGAGAAGGGGGGTTAAGAACTAATGGTACTGGGAGAAGGACCTGGTAATAGGGACAGGTGGACTGGAGGGAACGTTCTTCTTAAACCAAACAACAAGTATCAAACTCAGTCTTTTAACTTCCCTTGTCTTCTACTCCAACCAAGATTTTATCTCTGAAAAAATTAGCTGGATGAAGTTGTTGCATTCTCCTCTACGTGATCTGGTAACCAAAATGGACGCATTATCTGTATCTACCAGGAAAGGACTGTTTACATGGTAGGACTAGTGGCTGACGAGGCCCTGCAGCATCATCATGAGGCGCCGCGCCCTCTTGCTGAGCGGGCTGTGGGGGTCCTGCTGCAGGAAGGTGAAGAGCTTTGGTCTGACCTGGGCCAACACGGAAGACATGTGGTCTCTGGTCAGGGGGTCGCCGTGGTCCAGGTTCATCACGGCGTCCTCCAGGTAGCTGAGCAGGGACACAAGACGGAGACATGACATGTTGAAGACAGAACATTGATTTCTAGTAAGGTACCATGATCTACGGTGGGTATAAGCAGGAATGGAATTGAATCACAGTCTTTAGCCATGGTAGTTATTGTAATATATGTTGATCTGAAAATGAATGTCAAACCGGGAAATGAGTTGCGACTTAACCACTTCCGGTTCCTTTGTCTCGAAGTCAAAAAATGTTTGAATGTGTTTTTGGTTAATTGTCTTAAAATGAAGCATGTGGTTAACATAAGCTTTAGAGATTTTCACTATTTGTTATATGAGAAAAAATGAATGAATGTCCAAAGCTTGTTACCGTCAAAAAACGGCAGTTGCTAAGAAGTGAATAAATAAGACTACTAAATGTCATCACGTCGAACACGAAACAGCCTTTAGCCTAGTGGTGAGGCGCAGCCATGCGACCGTGACCATGTACCTTGTTTTTTAGCCTAACGTTAACTTTTTACTTTTGGCATTTGCATTCATGCTTCAACTGTTATGAAAGTGGTGTTATTACGAGGAGATTATCCTTCTGAACAAAACAAACAAGTCTTCACTGCACCATTCTATTCACTGATATGCAGTCAGTAGGATGAGGTTGACTTGTGTGGACAGAGGAAGGCTCAATGCTTCTATCAGTCTCCAATGTCAAGCTCCGTCCTTGATCACTTCCTGGCTGCTGGCCCACATGTGTGACTGTATAACTAGGATTTGAAATTGAATTATGCCTCCTGTCACCTGCATCCTGTCCTCTTACTCAGACTACACTACATTGAACTCCTCAATTAATTGTTTTAGTCAGACATCTGGTGGTTAGACTATTTCTGTCCCGCTCTCCTGCCGTCTTTGTCTTTACAGTTTAAATGACCCTTCATCTCCTCGTCCAGAGCACTACCCTGATGCCAGGCTAACATTCGAGCCGAACCCATATTGCCAGCTGGCCTCTGGCCACAGTTCGACTCGACACGCACATCACAGGACCATCGGGTCCACATAATACTGCAAACACACTTTTTATGACATTTAATGTCTTGGCATCTAAAGCCAAACTGACACCAAAGAACACGTCCCGACGGCACGTCTCCTGCGTCTTGGCCATGTGTCGCACTGGAACACACCGCAAAGACTTCAGCCGACGGCCAAGAAGCACGTACAAACTGCGCATGCGTGAGTGGCAATAGCTCTCCTTACCAGCAGGCGGCGGTAGTGTGTATTCGTCATTCAAAAGAGGCAACAACCGGAAGACAGACTGCGTGATACACCGAGAGAAGAAGAACAGACTGCGTGATATAAACAAACAACAAATAGCATGTGTGTTCCATTTTCACTCTACAGCGAGAAGCTCATGGGGCTTTCCCGAACG